ATACCATGTTAGAAACTAAGAGAGAATGAGAATGATTGACTAGCAGGAGGATGGGAGTACAAGTACCACAAACCTAGAGTAGCGTACCCCCTAGAAGGCTAACCCACTATAGCCTACACAAATAGAACAAGTATAATGTTTGACATTTACGCCGTCCGAGACCGGGGTCCTACTACGGACATCGCCCTCGGGGACCAATCGAGCACGCCACTGTACACGCCGTTGCGACGAACGCAGCTGCCGCGCCGTTTAAGGGGCGCTGCTTTGCTTGCAATAGGCCGGGCCATCGTAAGAGTGAGTGCCCAGAGGAGCTGAGGCGCCGCGGAGCAGAGCAGGGGAGGGAGTCTCCAAGGCAGGGAAACGCCAGCAGTCAGTAGGAATCGGGCCAACTACTGACGAGACTGCCTGCTCGCCCAACCGCACCGACCCTCACCGAGTCACAGTACCGATTCACGCTATTGATCGGGCTCGGATGAATAAGGAGGGTACAGCGACGGATTGCCCAGTACTGATTCACGGAAAAATACAGGGAGCAGCAGTGAAGATTTTTATCGACAAAGGTGCAAGTCACAGCTTAGTTAATACCGCGACCGCACAAAAACTACAACTGACACTGAGTCGGTGTTTACCGGAGATAGACGCACGCTTAGTTGACGGCACACCGCTGGCCATACGGGAAAAGGTGGAGAGAGTAAAGATCCGATGCGGGGGGAACTTCAGGTTTACACAGGAAATGCTCGCGACGACACTGGATGGGCACGACATTTTATTGGGACGTGATTGGTTGCGACGGTATAACCCGCGAATTGACTGGACGACGGGTAGCTGCACTGTGCGAAGTAGCGGTATCTGGGTGTTGCTACCACGCTGGCAGTCGCTCGAGTCTTCAACGGTCCACGTCAACGCCATCACGATGAAACGGGCTGTCGCCGCTGGAGCTGACGTGTACGCAGTGGATATAGCATTGATAGGAGAAGTAGAGCAGCCGAGTGATTTTCAGAAACTGCTGGCAGCGGTACCGCCCGAACTGCAGGAACTGTTGAAACGGTACCCGGGGATTTTTCCGGATGATTTACCAGAGGGACTGCCACCTCAGCGAGCACACGACCATCGGATAGAGTTAGAACCGGGGGCACAGCCAACCGTACAGCGACAGTTCAGACTGACACAACCCGAGCTCGACGAACTGAGGAAGCAGTTAGATTACCTGTTAGAGAAAAACTTCATCCGACCGAGCTCGTCACCGTTCGCCGCACCGATACTGTTCACACCGAAAAAGGACGGAGGGTTTCGTATGTGCATCGATTACAGAGCACTGAACCGGGTAACAGTCAAGTCGCGACACCCCATTCCCCGCGCCGACGAACTGATTGACCAACTACGAACAGCACGGGTTTTTTCGAAAATATATTTACGGGGAGGTTACCATCAGATTAGAGTCGAACCATCGGACTGCGCCAAAACAACATTTAGAACTCGATACGGGTCATTCGAATACACCGTGATGCCCTTCGGGCTGACCAACGCACCGGCGACATTTCAGATGACCATGAACGAGGCGTTTAGGCCACTCTTAGATAAATGCGTGATAGTTTACCTCGACGACATCCTAGTCTACAGCAGGGATAAGCAGCAGCACTTAGCAGATCTGGAAGCAGTTTTTAAGGTTTTAGACGAGCACCGCCTACTGACCAAGGGTTCCAAGTGCGAGTTCTTCCAGGATAGGTTAGATTTTTTTGGGCACGTAATTTTGGACTCTGGGGTCGAAATCGACCCAAAGATGCTGGACACGGTCAAAGCGTGGCACCCCCCGACGAACATCACGGAGCTGCAGAGTTTTTTAGGGTTCGTTAATTATGTGCGTCGGTTCGTCCCCGATATGGCACGGTTAACTGCCCCACTGACGGATTTGCTGCGGAAGGGGGTCACTTTTACGTGGGGGGAGAAAGAGCATGCTGCCTTCTCTGCCCTGAAAACTGTTCTCTGCTCACCGCCCGTACTGCGCATCGCTGACCCACACCGCCCATTCGAAGTAGTTACAGACGCAAGCGACATCGCCATTGGAGCCGTACTGCTACAGGATTTCGGCAACGGTTTACAGCCCATCGCATACGAGTCATGCAAACTGCATCCGCTCGAGAAGAATTACCCGATACACGACCGCGAAATGCTCGCGATCGTGCATGCATTCAAGGTTTGGCGCTGTTACTTGACCGGCGCAGATGTGACAATACGGACAGATCATAAATCACTACAGTATCTCCGCGCACAGCCCCACCTCAACCCACGACAGATTCGCTGGCTCGATTTCCTCGAGTCAAACTTCCACTACACAGTCACCTACAAAAAAGGGGCATCAAACATCGCCGACGCATTGACCCGCCCCACTGCCCAGATCCATGCAATACTACTCGCCCAGACCAGCCCACTACTGACAGGCCTATTTACCCACGGGTACCAAACGGACCCATTCTTCACAGGAGGAAATTCGCTGCAGTTCGCAGCAGTAAAGGGAGTCTATTACGTAAAAGCCGGGACCGACCGCATCTGGGTACCAGGGAACACACTGCTACGGGAATTACTGTTACAGGAGGCACACGACGGAGTTACCTCGGGACATTTCGAGGTAGAAAAAACACGGCAGCAGCTGCAGCGGTATTATTACTGGCCCGAAATGTTGACTGACGTTCAACGACACGTGGCATCATGTCCCACTTGCCAGATCATGAAGTCATCACGGAAGCGGCCGGCAGGACAGTTGCAGCCGATACCACCCCCAGAGCGTGCTTGGCAGCAGGTGACGATGGACTTCGTCACGGGGTTACCGGCCGGAGCGAGTGGGAACGACGCGATCCTGGTCGTCGTTGATCGACTGACGAAAATGGCACACTTCGCAGCCTGCAAAAAATCAATCACAGCCGAAGAAACAGCCCGCCTCTTCATCTCTACCGTCGTTCGACTGCACGGAATACCAGCAGCGATCATCAGCGACCGAGACACGAAATTCACCAGCAACTTCTAGCGGAACCTGTGGCAGCAGTTCGGCACACGACTACAGTTTAGCTCATCATACCACCCCGAAACCGACGGACAGACAGAACGGACAAATCAGACCATGGAACAACTCATCCGAGCCACGTGCGACGACCCGACCACATGGGAACAGCAACTGCCACTCATCGAATTCGCGTACAACAACTCACCCTCTGCCACGACTCAACAGTCACCATTTTACCTGAACTACGGACAAGACCCCACAGTACCCATGACCCCGAATCCCGACAATCCAGTCCCACGCGCGCAACAGTTCGCAGAAATATTGCAAGCAGCACGGACCCGAGCAGCAGAAGCAATAAAAAAATCAAACGTCATCGCTAAGCGCAACGCCGACCGACACCGCCGCCCCGTCACTTACCAACCCGACGACCTGGTATTACTCGACACTCAAAACCTCCGCCTGCCCATCACCCCAAAACTCCGCCCCCGATATTGCGGGCCATTTCGCATCAGCCACATGATCACACTCGTCACCGCCCACCTCCTCCTCCCTGCTGACTGGTACGTCAGCCCGTCGTTCCACGTCAGCCTGCTTCGTCCATACGTACCATCCACCAGCCAACTGCCTCGCAATCGCCCGGCCAGCATGACACGACCACCAACAGAGCCAATCATCACGCCCGAAAAAATACTGAGCCACCGAGTACGTGACCCACGGGGAGCCCGCAGGATCGAATTCCTGATCCGCTGGAAAGACCGCACACCCACCGAGGACAACTGGGTTCCCCTGGACAGAATCGAAAACCACCCCGTCCTCACAGAGTACCTGCGCAGCCGAAATTTCCGGGATGTACACGCGCTTTCGTAAGGAGGGCCTCCTTAAGGGGAGGGGTAGTGTAAGGAAAATTCCTTTTCCTTACTTCGCGTCCCTGCTCAGCGCGTACACCACTGTTCCCGCCAACAGCACGCAACAGTAATCCGTTACCACTCGCGACACTCGCTTCGACACCATTCCCGCCACTGTTCACGACGCGACCCAACCTCACGGTTCGGTTGGTAACCCGCGCTCCGGACCTCCGCCTCGACATCTCCCAACCTCGGCGCTAGGCCCGTCGCGCACCCCATTTTCCACACATTACCGTTACCACTGTAGTTTCGCTATATATTCTTCGCTCACGCCTTCGCTCATTGTACTCTTGCTTCGATACCGTCATCACCCGGATATAAGACAGTGTTGAATAGTAGACAGGGGTTGTCTACTATACGGGTGTCTCTTATAAACAGGCTAGCCTCATTATAAGACACCTATTTGTGTGTATGAGATAAGACATATATGTCTTATAATCGAAACTTCAATAAATTATAGCGAAAGTTGAAGTACCGCGTACTTTTTTACCCTTGCGAAGCGCGAATTCTTCCACGCGCTGACCCAGGACCTACCAAATTTGCCCCTGCAGGTGTTCTCCATAACGTGGCGTCTCGGGCAGAGGTTGTCGAAGTGGCACCTTCGCAACATCCACACGCATTATGAGAAACTCTTTTTAAAGAAGTACGGAAAATATTTCTAAGTAGTTTAAAAAGTTTCCATTTATAAGACTTATAAGACACCCTAAACCATCCCGTTTACAAGATAACTCAAGCATTTTTGCCCGTGTACGAGATAAGACATATATGTCTTATATCCGGGCGATGACGGTAGTGCAATTCTCGCTCGTTCACTCAATTGCACCCGTAACAGTTTCCAACAATAGCTGCACAAGGATTACAAGAACATGTTCCTACGACCCCTTATCGGGCGAACCTCTTGTTAGATTCGCGTCGCACCACACTGAAACATACTGTACGTAATCACATTCGATCGCACTGAAACGCTCTGAACCGCACAAGTCTGACAAGAGGTCGCCGCCTGATAAGGGGCACGCCCCAAGGTTGGCTATGTACCACGTACCACAATGTCAAAACACTAGTCTTATTAATACAATTTGAGCACATCCTTGCTTTTTCTATTGCAGAGAGGGCACTTGCCGCGCCGGTCCCTGACCTCCTGAGCACACGTGCGGCACAGCATATGGCCACACGGCACAAACGCTGCCTTCCTTGGCCTCTCCATGCACACACAGCACACCGCCTCCCCAGGCTCCCCCTCCTCTTCTCCACTCGCCTCAACATCCTCTCCAGCTACTGTTCCTCCTATACTCTCTCCCCCTCTTCTCCCTCTTACCGCTCCTCCCCCACGCCTACCCCTGCGCCCCTCCTCTTCCTGCTCCTCTGCTCCTCCTCTCTGTCGCTCCACCCCAACTTGCCTTCTGCTGCTGGATACCCCGCCCCCCCAAGCGTGTGTGTGGGTGAGAGCAGGGCTCTGGGTTCGTCTGGATGACACTTGAATAGGCGGGCCTCCCAGCACTGCTACCAGTGGCACTCCTGCTCCTGCTACACTGCCTGCTACAGTACCTGATGTGCTACGTGCTACATTACCCCCTACAGCACCTGCTACAGTGCCTGCTGTTCCAATGCCGATGCCACTCCCTGCCCCAGCATTTGTTCCTGCTGCTGCCATTGCTGCCACCACGCGTGCTGATGCTGGAAGCCTCATTGAGACAGCAGGGCGAGAAGACTCGATACCGCTAGAACCTGGGGCAGCAGAAGTAGCAACAGCAGCAGCAGCAGCACTGCTGGTAAGCAGAGTGGATGAGGAGGAGGAGCCGAAGAGGGCTTGCTCAATCGCAGCATCAATCAGGGCTTGTTCGTCCCTGCCTCCTCCACGGCTCTGCTGCAACTGCTCGTACAGCTGGTGCTGCTGCTGCTGGGTCAGACTCTGCTGCTGGCTCTCCTCCCCTTCTCCTGCTTCTCCATCCTCGTTAGCAGGAGACTCACCACGGGTCAGGAGCATACGCTGCAGCCGAAGCAGCAGGAGCCGCTGCCGCTGCTGCTGCCTCTGCTCATGCATCCTCAACACCACCTCTCCTCGATTACTGCTACCAGCCACACCACTCACACCCTCACCAACAGCATTACTCGCCCCAGCACCAGCACCGCTAAAGCTGTCGCTTGAATGCAACACCCCAGCGCCTGTGTGGCCATCTCTCCCCCTTCGAGTCAACGGGGAGCCCATGCGTGCTCCCGTGGGCACAGGCAAGGCGGTATTGACAGTGGTCATCTGTGCAGCACCTGAACTCACCACCCTGCGGAAACGAGCAGGACTTACCCTTTCTGGTGCAACCACTCTCGCCACTTCTGTTCCCACTCGCCCCCCCTCTGCCTCCTCTCTCCCCTCCACTGCTGCCATCCTCCAATTTCCCCCCTCTCTCCCTTCCTCTGCCCCCCCTCTGTTCTCCCCAAATGCACTAGCTCCTTCTGGTGCTCCAACTGCTGTCCACTGACTTGCTACAGCTGATGCCGGTGCCGCTGCTGCTGCCGGTGCCGCTGCCGCTGCTACAGCTGTTAACGGCGCAGCGCTTGCTGCAGTGCCTGCCTCCTCGCCTCGTGCTGGGGAAAACAGAACCCACTCAGTTGTGGGAGACGATGCTGCTGCAGCCATTGCGCCTGCGCCTGCCGTTGCTGTTGCCCCTGCTGCTGTTTCTGCCCCAGCTGCTGCTGTTGCACCTGGCAACGGCCCATTCTCATGCTGTTGGTATGTCTGATGCCAGGGCACAGGGGGGCCCGGGGCAAATACAGCAGGAGGGGCAGAAGGGACAGGAGGGGTAGAAAGGGAATACCCAGCAGAAGCAGCATAGCTGGCGGCCAGCATCGGCACCGGGGTTGGATCACAAGTTGGCAGATTGGACGGATGGGATGGGTCAAACGGATTAGTGGGAGCATGGGGAAGAGGAGCAAGGCTGGGCTCAAACGGATTGGAGGGTGTGGAATGCAAAGGCTCCTGACCCACAGGGGGGAGGAGCTGTACGCCGATGGATTGCTGTAGTATTGCCTGTTGTAACGCAGGCTGTAAGGCCTGTTGTGAGGCCGGCTGTAAGGTTTGCTGTGTGTCATGAGCGTAAGGCAGTACTTGTGGCGTGCCAATGAATGGTGCTTGTGGTAACATGGTAACATGGTGAACCTGTGGTTGTGGCTCGTCCGAGTATGGAAAACAAAATTGGTGGAAAGCATCTGCTGCTGTTGCTGCTGCCGTGCCTGCAGCAGCTGCTTCGCCAATGGAAGAGGGACTAGGCATGGAGAGTGTTGAGGGGAGAGGTGGAGGTGTGACAGGGGGAGGTGCGATAAAGGGAGGTGTGACAACGATAGGCGTGACAAGGGGAGGCGTGACAGGGGGAGGTGCAGGGGGGGAAGGTGCCATACGGGAAGGTGCAATGGGGGGAGGTGTGATGGGGGGTTGCATAGTTGCATGGTCGACAAAAGCATATTGCATGGTTGCTGCAGCATTGTTTTCTGATGCAAAGAGAGGGGTGGAGAGCGGTTGCTGTGAAGGCAATGTGGCATCGGCTGGTGAGCTAGCATGGGGGCCTGCAGTTGCTGTAGCTGCTGACTGGCTGCTTCCAACGTCAGGTGTTTCATCAGGTGCATGGATCGGTCCTGTGTAGGGCTCCTCATCAGGTGCTGCGTCAGGTGCTGCTAGTACAGTACCCTCCTCTGCTGGCTGTGCTGGCTCTGCTGCCCCACCTGGCTGTTGATGCATGTAACAAGTTGCATGTTTGCGGCTGCCCGCTGCTGCCTCCCCTGCCACTGCCAGACTGACCCCTAGCCTGTCGCTATGCCCACTGTCTTCCACTTCCTCAGAGCTTTCCTCGTTCCCAGCGTCATTCTCCCCACGAAAGCTTTGCTCGATCAGCGAGCCGTGCTCTTGCAAACAGCCAGCCTCCTCCAATACATTCTCCGACCCACTCGGCTCCCGAACCTCCTCACCTTCTGCCGAACCTTCACCTGAAGAAACAAGCTCGGCAGGTGAGCAGACCCCGTTAACAACACTGTTTGCAACACTGTTCCGTTCACTGTTCATCATGCATGTTAACGATTGAATGTCTGCATCCCCACCATCGCCCACACAAGGCCTTCCTCTTGCCCCACCAGGACCACAGCTCACTACCTCCTCCCCTGACCCTGCCACACCCACACCTACTGATGGCTCTGCCATTTGAGTCTCCTGCTGCTGCGTCCACAGCTGGCCTCACCCCCTCCCCACCATCCCCTAACCACTCGCTCTCCGTATCTGCAGCCACCTCCGTGGTCTCTTCAATTCTTCCCGAACCACCACTCGCTGCTTGCCGTACCAACGGCTCCGAACCACCATTAGCCTCGTTCACTTCCACTGCTCCCAAAACAGCCCTTCTCTCTTCCGCAGCAGCCCCTCCCACTCTGTCACTTACTCCGCCTTCAGACATTTCGCCCCCAGCTCCTCCTCCCTCAAATCCTCCGCCCTCAGACCCTCCGCCCCAAGGTCCTGCAGGAAGATTTTCTTCCTCTTCGCCCTCCATCCCTCCGCCCCTCCTCTCTCCCTCATTTACCTCCAGATCACTACCACCACTCTGCACCCCTTCCGACCGTGCCCCTGCCACAATCCCCGCCGTTCTCCTTTCCCCCACAGTTCCTCTCTCCCTGCCTTGCCTGCTCGCTAGCCCATGTACAGACACGCGGCGCCGACCCAGTCTGCGCTGACTCGACGCAGACTGCTGCTGACTCAGCAGAAGCTGACCTGGCACGAGATGCTGCTGCCCCAGACCCACATCCTGCTGCTCTGGCAGCTGCTGACAGGACTGCTGCTGGCCCTGACTCAGCATACGGGGCCGCGTGTCGCGACGGGATTGGGCGGTTGCGAGGGGCACGGGAAGGGGAGGAGAGGAGGGAGGGGAGGGGAGAGGCGCTGATGCTGCTGCTGCCAGCGCCACAAGGCTCGGCTTCTCATACCCTCTCCACTTCTCGCACTCAAGGCATGCGCAGCTGGACTTGCCGTTGTTTCCCCATGCACCCGTGTAGCAGCAGCAGCAACGCCCCCAGCACTGGCAGCAGGAATATCCCCATGAGACGCAGTCTCAGCATTGTCTGCTCCGTCTGCTCTGTCTACTCCATCGGCTCCATCTGTGGCAGCTGGCCATTCGCCTTCGCCTCCCCTTCTCCGTGTCTCTCCACCCGCCTTCTACCCACTCCCCCCCTCTCCCTTGCGCGCACTCGCCTTCCCATGCACATGCGCCACGACTCCCCTTCTTCCTCGTCTTCCTCCTCCTCTTCCTCTTCTCTACTTTCGTCTGCCGTTGCCACTCGCACTGCTCTGCGTTCTCCTCCTCCTCCCCTTCCTCCTTCCCATCCTGCTTCTCCTGCTGCTTCTTCCATCTCCCCTTCTCCGGCTTCTCCTACCCCATCCACCCGCCACTCAGCCACGTCAGCACCCTCCCTCGGCCAATCACGAGGCGACGAGCGAGGGGCAGCAGGCAATCTCCCTGTCACACCAACCCCCACCTCCCCTTCTCCATCCTCAGTATCATGCTGCCTAAAGCAGAGCGATCTACCAGTACCAATACCACTACCATCACCGTTACCAGTGCCAGTGCTTCTGTGCACAGGGCGCACAGGGCGCAGCACCACAGGGCACGCCACACAGAGACGCGGCTGCCTCACACTGCTCGCCCTCCTCCCCTCGCTCTCCATCGAATGTGCTACTCCAGACAGGTGAGTGCCAGGCTGTACGGTGGACAGCCCATCACTACTGGGTTGTTCACTCATCAGTTCCCCTTCTCTGTACTCGCCTTCTCCCTGCTCCTGATCCTCCTCCTGCTCCTCCTCCTGTTCCTCCTCCTGTATTCCCTCCCGTCGTTCCTCTTGTGTCTCCAGCTGTACACTCTCCCTCGCTCCTCCTCTCCCTCTGCCCCTTCTGGCTGCTCCTCCCCCTCTCATCCCCCTCCCTCCTCCCCCACGCCCTGAGCCAACACCTACACTGCCTCCCCCCTCCCCTCGCTGTGACGTATCCCCTCCTGCTACTGCCCCTTCTCCCTCTAGTCGCCCTGCATCTGCTTCTCCCGCTGCCCCTGCAACTACACCTGCACCTGCCCCTACCCCTGCTCCTGTCGACGCCCTTCCCCCTCCCCCCACTCTTCCCCCTGCTGCACCCGCCCTTGCCCCGACGTCCATACCTCCTCCAACAACCCCCTCTCCCCCACTTCTCACCCCCCCCACCAGGCCTCAATCTCGCTCGATGATTCCCCAACCCCACCTCCTCTCCACCCCCTCTACCGCCCCTCAACCTCTCTCCACCCCTCCTCACTCCTTGAACCCCACCCATGTTTTGTTGACCCCCTGCTCTCCGCTCATTTCCACCTCTTGCACGATCCCCACCACCTGACTGATTCACCCCTCCCAACGCCCCAGGAGCACCTCGGGAGTGGTTTCCCCCTCCCATCACCGCAGGAGCCACACACTCGTTTCGGAACAGTCCCCGCCGAGCAGCAATGCGCACGGGCGTTATGAAGCACTGGTTGGGCGGCATTGCTGGGGGCATCTGGTGAGTGTGACTGTAACGAGCGGCTTGACGGGCTGAGCTGTGTGACAATAGCGAGGGGTGGTCTGTGCGAGCATTAGAAGGGTTTCCCAGACCAGTAGTGGGATTGGGAGCAGAAGTTGAAGCTGCTGCTGCTGCTGCTGCTGCGGTTGCTGCGGCTGCGGCTGCTGCTGCTGACGGTAGGAGGATCAACACTTCTTCTTCTTCCGGTTCTATTACTTGCACGATCTCGGTTGGCGACTCAAATCTGCCTTCAAGATTCTGTTCCGGATTCGATTCGAGATTTGATTCTGCGACAGGGTCGAGCTGCGACGCCATTGGCTGGGAGTCAATCCACTGCTTTACCGCCACAGTGCGCCGGACGGCAGAGGAGGTTGAAAAGATTGATTGGGGCGGGGAGGCGGAGGAGGAGGAAACGGACGAAGAGGAGGGGTGTGAGAGGTGTTTTTGTGCGAGGTTGTGTGTCGAGGAGTCAAGGCTTGAGGCGGCACCTGCTCTGATACCATGACGGCCAGGCTGGTTGCTGCTGCTCCTGCCGCTGCCACTGCCACTCCCATTGGCATTGCCGTTACTGTTACTGTTACCAGACCTCCTACCTACTCCAGTTACCACCTGCCGCAACGGTTCCTCTGCCAATGCCTCCTCTGCTCTTTCCGCCGCTGCTCTTGCTGCCGCTGCTCGTTCTGCTGCTGCTGCCGCGGCTGCCGCAGCCGCTGCTGCCGCTGCAGTCGCCGCTGCTTCTGACACGCACCCACTCGACCTCTCCGGAAACACATACCCCTCTTGAGGCGCCTCAAAAGACACTGCCCCTGCTGCTGCTGCCTCTGCTGCTGACGCATACCCTCGCATCCTCTCTGGAAAGCCATACCCCTCGCCACCTCCGCGGCTATACACGCTACAGCTACCCCTCTCGGTGCCAACGCTGGTGTCGTCGATAGTCCCTGCATCTTCCAAGCTCCCGCAAAAAGACAAGTCTCCAGATAAGGACGAGAGAGACCGCCCCTCACAGGCATGCAGCTCCCTGCCGCTCCCTGTAACCACGGTGCTCATATAACCAAAATGAGAGAGACCGTCAGTTACCTCGCTATAATCACCAGCTGCTACTATACTGTTCTCCATACAGTGGTTTGAATAGGATGGGTCGGAGAAAGGTGGGTGGGAAGATGCAGCTACAGTGTTGTCTCCTGTCCCACCCACCCCAACCCCTCCGCACCCCCCATTAGCCCCACCCCATCAGCCCCACCTGCTCCTCTCTCACTGGCACCTGCAATGACAGCTTCTGATGCCCACGCCTCCTCTTCACTAACTGCTTCCTCCTCCCCTCGCATTTCCCGTTCTCCTTTCTCCATCCCTCTCCTCCTCTCCTCTTCACCCTCTTTTTCCTCGTCCCTCTTACCCTCCCTTTCCTCATCATCCTCCTCCCATTCCACCTCCTCCATGACCATTGCCTCCACCACCGCTGCCTCGTGCTCTCCCTTCCTTGCACCCCCCTTTTTATCCGATCCATCCTTCCCTTCTTCCTCCTCCTCCAGCTCCTCCCCACACTCCACTCACTCTCTCTCCCATCCTCCTCCTCCTCTTCCTCCTCCTCCTCTTCCTCATCGCTACCTTCCCCCACCTCCCTCCCTCCATCCACGCCCATTCCCTCCACAACGACAGCTGGCAACAGCTGATAGGCCCGTCCTGACACGTCATCAACCAGCAGCACACTCTCTCCCCCCTCCAACGCCTCTCTAGCTTGCTCCTCCATTTCCACACTCAGCCGCAACTCATGACACACAACCTCCCCCTCCTTATCTTCCTCCTCCTCGTCACCCTCCTCCCCCTCTCCCACTCCATCTTCCTCCTCCTCTTCCCCTTCTTCCACCTCTACCCCCACCTCCTCTCCTTCTCGAAGCAAAAACGCTCCCTCACTAAACAGCACGCCCTCTCCTCCCTCCGCCGCCCCATGTGCACTCTCCTCCACATCCCCCTCTCTCATACTCATCCCGCCTTTCATCTCCCCTCTCCTCTCCACTCTCATCCCCTCTCTCATACTCATCCCGCCTTTCATCTCCCCTCTCCTCTCCACTCTCATCCCCTCTCTCATACTCATCCCGCCTTTCATCTCCCCTCTCCTCTCCACTCTCATCCCCTCTCTCATACTCATCCCGCCTTTCATCTCCCCTCTCCTCTCCACTCTCATCCCCTCTCTCATACTCATCCCGCCTTTCATCTCCCCTCTCCTCTCCACTCTCATCCCCTCTCTCATACTCATCCCGCCTTTCATCTCCCCTCTCCTCTCCACTCTCATCCCCTCTCTCATACTCATCCCGCCTTTCATCTCCCCTCTCCTCTCCACTCTCATCCCCTCTCTCATACTCATCCCGCCTTTCATCTCCCCTCTCCTCTCCACTCTCATCCCCTCTCTCATACTCATCCCGCCTTTCATCTCCCCTCTCCTCTCCACTCTCATCCCCTCTCTCATACTCATCCCGCCTTTCATCTCCCCTCTCCTCTCCACTCTCATCCCCTCTCTCATACTCATCCCGCCTTTCATCTCCCCTCTCCTCTCCACTCTCATCCCCTCTCTCATACTCATCCCGCCTTTCATCTCCCCTCTCCTCTCCACTCTCATCCCCTCTCTCATACTCATCCCGCCTTTCATCTCCCCTCTCCTCTCCACTCTCATCCCCTCTCTCATACTCATCCCGCCTTTCATCTCCCCTCTCCTCTCCACTCTCATCCCCTCTCTCATACTCATCCCGCCTTTCATCTCCCCTCTCCTCTCCACTCTCATCCCCTCTCTCATACTCATCCCGCCTTTCATCTCCCCTCTCCTCTCCACTCTCATCCCCTCTCTCATACTCATCCCGCCTTTCATCTCCCCTCTCCTCTCCACTCTCATCCCCTCTCTCATACTCATCCCGCCTTTCATCTCCCCTCTCCTCTCCACTCTCATCCCCTCTCTCATACTCATCCCGCCTTTCATCTCCCCTCTCCTCTCCACTCTCATCCCCTCTCTCATACTCATCCCGCCTTTCATCTCCCCTCTCCTCTCCACTCTCATCCCCTCTCTCATACTCATCCCGCCTTTCATCTCCCCTCTCCTCTCCACTCTCATCCCCTCTCTCATACTCATCCCGCCTTTCATCTCCCCTCTCCTCTCCACTCTCATCCCCTCTCTCATACTCATCCCGCCTTTCATCTCCCCTCTCCTCTCCACTCTCATCCCCTCTCTCATACTCATCCCGCCTTTCATCTCCCCTCTCCTCTCCACTCTCATCCCCTCTCTCATACTCATCCCGCCTTTCATCTCCCCTCTCCTCTCCACTCTCATCCCCTCTCTCATACTCATCCCGCCTTTCATCTCCCCTCTCCTCTCCACTCTCATCCCCTCTCTCATACTCATCCCGCCTTTCATCTCCCCTCTCCTCTCCACTCTCATCCCCTCTCTCATACTCATCCCGCCTTTCATCTCCCCTCTCCTCTCCACTCTCATCCCCTCTCTCATACTCATCCCGCCTTTCATCTCCCCTCTCCTCTCCACTCTCATCCCCTCTCTCATACTCATCCCGCCTTTCATCTCCCCTCTCCTCTCCACTCTCATCCCCTCTCTCATACTCATCCCGCCTTTCATCTCCCCTCTCCTCTCCACTCTCATCCCCTCTCTCATACTCATCCCGCCTTTCATCTCCCCTCTCCTCTCCACTCTCATCCCCTCTCTCATACTCATCCCGCCTTTCATCTCCCCTCTCCTCTCCACTCTCATCCCCTCTCTCATACTCATCCCGCCTTTCATCTCCCCTCTCCTCTCCACTCTCATCCCCTCTCTCATACTCATCCCGCCTTTCATCTCCCCTCTCCTCTCCACTCTCATCCCCTCTCTCATACTCATCCCGCCTTTCATCTCCCCTCTCCTCTCCACTCTCATCCCCTCTCTCATACTCATCCCGCCTTTCATCTCCCCTCTCCTCTCCACTCTCATCCCCTCTCTCATACTCATCCCGCCTTTCATCTCCCCTCTCCTCTCCACTCTCATCCCCTCTCTCATACTCATCCCGCCTTTCATCTCCCCTCTCCTCTCCACTCTCATCCCCTCTCTCATACTCATCCCGCCTTTCATCTCCCCTCTCCTCTCCACTCTCATCCCCTCTCTCATACTCATCCCGCCTTTCATCTCCCCTCTCCTCTCCACTCTCATCCCCTCTCTCATACTCATCCCGCCTTTCATCTCCCCTCTCCTCTCCACTCTCATCCCCTCTCTCATACTCATCCCGCCTTTCATCTCCCCTCTCCTCTCCACTCTCATCCCCTCTCTCATACTCATCCCGCCTTTCATCTCCCCTCTCCTCTCCACTCTCATCCCCTCTCTCATACTCATCCCGCCTTTCATCTCCCCTCTCCTCTCCACTCTCATCCCCTCTCTCATACTCATCCCGCCTTTCATCTCCCCTCTCCTCTCCACTCTCATCCCCTCTCTCATACTCATCCCGCCTTTCATCTCCCCTCTCCTCTCCACTCTCATCCCCTCTCTCATACTCATCCCGCCTTTCATCTCCCCTCTCCTCTCCACTCTCATCCCCTCTCTCATACTCATCCCGCCTTTCATCTCCCCTCTCCTCTCCACTCTCATCCCCTCTCTCATACTCATCCCGCCTTTCATCTCCCCTCTCCTCTCCACTCTCATCCCCTCTCTCATACTCATCCCGCCTTTCATCTCCCCTCTCCTCTCCACTCTCATCCCCTCTCTCATACTCATCCCGCCTTTCATCTCCCCTCTCCTCTCCACTCTCATCCCCTCTCTCATACTCATCCCGCCTTTCATCTCCCCTCTCCTCTCCACTCTCATCCCCTCTCTCATACTCATCCCGCCTTTCATCTCCCCTCTCCTCTCCACTCTCATCCCCTCTCTCATACTCATCCCGCCTTTCATCTCCCCTCTCCTCTCCACTCTCATCCCCTCTCTCATACTCATCCCGCCTTTCATCTCCCCTCTCCTCTCCACTCTCATCCCCTCTCTCATACTCATCCCGCCTTTCATCTCCCCTCTCCTCTCCACTCTCATCCCCTCTCTCATACTCATCCCGCCTTTCATCTCCCCTCTCCTCTCCACTCTCATCCCCTCTCTCATACTCATCCCGCCTTTCATCTCCCCTCTCCTCTCCACTCTCATCCCCTCTCTCATACTCATCCCGCCTTTCATCTCCCCTCTCCTCTCCACTCTCATCCCCTCTCTCATACTCATCCCGCCTTTCATCTCCCCTCTCCTCTCCACTCTCATCCCCTCTCTCATACTCATCCCGCCTTTCATCTCCCCTCTCCTCTCCACTCTCATCCCCTCTCTCATACTCATCCCGCCTTTCATCTCCCCTCTCCTCTCCACTCTCATCCCCTCTCTCATACTCATCCCGCCTTTCATCTCCCCTCTCCTCTCCACTCTCATCCCCTCTCTCATACTCATCCCGCCTTTCATCTCCCCTCTCCTCTCCACTCTCATCCCCTCTCTCATACTCATCCCGCCTTTCATCTCCCCTCTCCTCTCCACTCTCATCCCCTCTCTCATACTCATCCCGCCTTTCATCTCCCCTCTCCTCTCCACTCTCATCCCCTCTCTCATACTCATCCCGCCTTTCATCTCCCCTCTCCTCTCCACTCTCATCCCCTCTCTCATACTCATCCCGCCTTTCATCTCCCCTCTCCTCTCCACTCTCATCCCCTCTCTCATACTCATCCCGCCTTTCATCTCCCCTCTCCTCTCCACTCTCATCCCCTCTCTCATACTCATCCCGCCTTTCATCTCCCCTCTCCTCTCCACTCTCATCCCCTCTCTCATACTCATCCCGCCTTTCATCTCCCCTCTCCTCTCCACTCTCATCCCCTCTCTCATACTCATCCCGCCTTTCATCTCCCCTCTCCTCTCCACTCTCATCCCCTCTCTCATACTCATCCCCTCCCTATCCCCACCTCTCATTTCGTCACACACTGAAGCCCGTTCAACTTGGCACACCATGCCTCCCCGATCAACCACCATCTCCACTCCCTCGTATCCTGGTAACCGGGTTACCCTATTTCCCTCACATGTATCCATGGCTTCATTCTCTTTCCAACATTCAACCACCACTGATTCATTCACAGCACACTCTCCCTTGTTCCTATCACCCTCCCCTGCTTCCATTCCATGCCGTCCCTTCCCTCTTCCTACCCCCTCACTCTCCGCTTCTTTCTCACTCTCATGTGCTCCCCCCCTGCCTGCGTTCCCTTCTCCTCCTGACGACCACCCTGCTCCAGACAACCGCCTTTCTCCCGCAACACTCCCTCCCTTCAACCCCTTCCTCCTCCCCCTTCCCCCTGCCGCCCCGCGTGCACCAGCACCACGGCCGGCAGCAACACTCACAACAGCACCCTCAAAAACCTCCCGGCTGTCTGCTCCTCCCACAGTCAACACAGGTACATCCCCCACTCCCACACCTAAGGCTTCTTCCAGTGCGTCCTCCCCAGTACAGATCTCATTCCCGCCCCCAGCCTCGCTACAGCTTACAATCCCCTGGACTTTCCCCTTCCCACTGCCAATCCCTGCTCCTCCTGTCTCTCCACCAAGCATGCTGCTTTCCTCCCCTTGGTGGCCCACTCCCTACGAGCATTCACCCTGCCACCACCACCACCAGTAGCAGCAGCAGCAGCAGCAGTGGCAACTCCAGCCGCTCCTCCTCTCCCTTTCCTCCCAGCAACCGCCCCCCTCCCCACACCTGCAGCAGCAGCCGCGCTTGCTGCTGCTATCTCCAGCTGTCGTATCCTCTCCCCCACCGTCCCTCTCACCCTGCCTTGCCCCATGCCTGCACCTCCTCCTCCTCCTCTCCCTCGCCCTCTCGTCCTCCCCCCCTCTCTCTTCTGCCTCGTTCTGCCTGGCGTCATGACAACCCCCGTTGTAAGCCCGGTGTTTCCACTGCCTATAACGAGGACAACGGTTTCCCCCGCGCTCGTCTCCTCTTCTCCTTCCAAACTGTCTAAGGCCACACCCAGTTGTGTCTCCCCTCCAAATCCCTCCCCATCTGTATCCATCTCAACCGCATTAGAACAAAGAGTAGCCACTCCATACGCCTGCTTTCCCTTCCCCGTCGCTCGTCTTCCTTTGCTGCTGCTGTTTCCCTCGCCATTGCCACAAGCACCGCAGTCCACTCCTCTGTCCTCCCCGCTCGCTTCACCACCAGCCTCCCTGCAACTCGCAACGTCATTTCCCAAACACTCTTCATCCAAACGACTCCGATCCTCTCCCAACCCGCACCCATCCTCCCCTCCTCTGCTCGTGCTCGTGTCTACCTCACAGGGGGAGTTCGGCCGTCTCTGCAACGCCTGCTTCCGCTGCTGCCGCTTCTGCACCTGGCTCTTCATAGCACGGGGTGATTTACCCAAGTTTGACCCAGCGGGTTGCGTTTCCCGTCTAGGGGACGCTCTGCCTGCGGGGCCAAGAACGGACCCCGCTCTAAGTGACCCATCCCTCTTCATTTTACCGCTCGCAGTGTTAGGGTTACTACTACCCAACGCGTCTGAGGAGTCTGTGTCTGTCGTGGCACCGCTGCTGCCGCAACGCCGAACAGCCTTCGCGTTCGCGTTTCCACTGCCGCTGCTGCTGCTGGCTGCGCTCTTGATGCTCTTGCTTGTCTTACCGCCTTTCTTAAGCGGTCCTGCTGCTCCTGCCGTTCGTGCTGAAACCTTTGACTGTTCAAAGAGAGATCTCAGCTGCCGAACGCTCACGTTAGACGACAAGCCGGGACTGCGTGGGCGGCGAGGGCTGGCGCGTAGCGCCGCAAGATCATGTGGTTGCGGCCCTGTGATTCGCTCCGTGTGCTGCCGTAGTTGCTCGGCTGTCAGCTCTGCGGCTTGCCCTGTTGCCGGCCGACCTGCCACTACCTTTTTCTGGTTCCGCTCTAGACTGCTGCCCCTCTTCCTGCTGACCGTTCGCTTCCCTATCCTGCCGTATCTGCTCGGCAGTCAGCAATGAAGCTTCCTCTGTCGTCGGCCGAACTCCTGACGCCGGCCGATCAGGCACAATCTTTTCTCGTTCGGCTCTAGACTGCTCCTCCTCTCCCTGCTGCTCGTTCGCTCGCTCCTTTGCCTTTCCCTTGTCCTGCGGTTTCCGTTTCGCCGAGGACGAGCGAGGGCGGGGAAGCTTCTTTTTCTCCGCTTTACCTGCTTGACCCGTATCCCGTCCCTGGTCAGACGGTTGCTCGAGAGTCGTTTCCGGAGCCTGGTCAGAATCCGTTACCCTCTCAGAATCCGTCACCGTCTCATAATCCGTCACTGCCTGGGATTCCGGTATCTGTTTAGGAACTACGGCTCCTATCCGCTCGTCCATCGGAAAATGTTTGCATTGCCTTTCGGCAGTTCGACTCACAGACACCTAATTACATAATGTCGGTGGTTGTTTGCGTGGTGCCCAGTTATGTGGGTCGGGGTTCTGGCATGCGTCTGTTCTCGCCACGTCCCACCGAAAGCTGCCTCAATTTCGCGAATGAGGTCACGGTTCTGGGCGAAGCTTGGACACCATCAACCAAAAATTTCCCTCAGTGACGTGTAAACACACCTGATCATTGGTCACTACACAAGTTGCGAGAATTCTTGGAGCATGGCAGCCAATCAGACGTGTTCATTGCTACCAAAGTGTCCACACTTCAGATGGTGTCCAAACTTCAGAACCGTGATCTGATAAACCTGTCATTTGTGCAGCGAGGTTAGGGCGCGTGTCCTTGAGGTCGAACTTTAGCCAAAGTTCGAACTTTGGGTTGTACACGGTAGGATACAGTTGAGAGACGTTTCACCACGGTACAAAGCGGTATTAGGCTCGAACTTTGACAATCTACACCAAAAGACACGCGCCAAATGCGTTACGATCGCCAAAAAAGTAGGACATCCTTGATCACGTCCAGCCATCTGGGGCTGTAGGTTCAAATCGGACGCCCGTGCGGGCCACGTCGCGCGTTCGTGAGCACGCACAGCCAGTTTCGCAAAATCCCTTCGCATGCTCAACAGCTCGCGTGCTGTGTCATCATTGGGAGACCTGCTGTTCCGGAAGGCGGGGACCAGCACGGCGTTTCCGGAAGCCACGCTTACATCTATTACACTTCACCAACTATGGGCTGAACGTTGTGACGCTGTATTCCGGGGGAAGAAATTCCGGACGAGGCGGGTGCTCCGCCGTGTTGAAGCTGCTTTCCGCCTACATGCACGAATCTACACGAGATCGAGGGACGTGGAGTGGACAAAACGCAGGGGTACACAACATGAGGGGAAGTTTCGCCGGGCGTTGGAGAGCGAGAACAAGTTACTGTTTCGGATCAGGGACAAGAATAGCAAGTCATGGACGTGGACGAAAGCTTTTACGAATATCTGGCTCGCACCGAGGATGACTCGCCAACCTCCTTAGATGCCACACCTGGGGCGGCCACAAGGCTTCCCCTCATGCGCAGTTACGACTGTTATTGTTTATGTAAGCTTGCTCTATCGGTGTACATAGCAATTACCTAAAAAAAAAAAAAAAAACCAGTTTCGCATGACGAAAAGCTTCGCGAATCCCTCGGGTAATGTTCAGAACTACTGGCACACAAAACATCCTTCGCGATGTTGGACTTGTATTCGCTTAAGGTATTGGTTTCGCAACTGGGACTCAAAGTGAACAGAAGAACCACACCCCCTTGTGCGGACATGGGCCCTGTTCAAATTGGTTGGGGGCCTGAATTTTGGTGTATTTTGTACAGGGAAAAATGCTCTGACCTACCTAATTTTGCATTCCCCAGTGTAAGGAATTTTCTCGACAATCCGTACCGCGACCATCAACGTCGCGTACAGTAGCAGCCGTTGTTCGCCCGTTACTGCTAACGGGGCTTCGCCAATTTCGCGCGCACTGTTTCACCAAACCATGCACCGCTGGCCCGGCCGAGTCGGCCTCCGCTTCGGGCCTAGCCCGAACCCCCATGCCAGCCTAGCACTAGCTAGCTCGCACGCACCGCGTAACCGTTGCATGTTTTCGCACATAAGTATTCGCTCACCAGGCCCCACGTTTTTAGAGAAAATTTCTCTGTTTCTCTAAAAATTAGAGTCATTTTTTAAATTAACTCTGTACCTGCTGGCTTTTGAATTTGAAAGTTGAGTTTTCTGTGATCTATCAGAGTTGTTGTGTAGGCTACTCTGAGGCCTCTAGGTTTTTTTTCCAAGGATCAAGTTTACTATGTATATAAAATACATGCCCCCTAGCCTCCCCCCCCCCCTTACCTCCCCCCCACCTCCCTCCCCAAATACCGGGTTTTCCCCGAGTCGCCGAGAACATCATCCAGATTTCGTTCGTGTGTTGGCGGCATTAAGAGCGCTGATTGGCTGGACTGGCAATTTTCCCAGGCAGCGCTTATTGCTTGCCATATCCCTTTCCTTAGTCAAATCTGTGGTGCCAACACAACTGAACTTCAGTCAGGATCAGGGCTGTCGATTCGTTTTGGGGCCCCCGGACAAATCAGGGGGCCCGGCATGTACGAATTTCTATTTAGTAGGGTCGGGGCGAATCTCGGCCCTTTAGGCTTCAGGGCTGGAAATTTTCCTCCCTTAGATCAGTGTTGGCACGGAAAAATTTGCAGCCTCATCTCAACTACGAAGCTTACAGCTACATTTGGCAAGTACTATAGCAGGTTGAGTGAAATTTCGGCCCAACCACGCAATTCCAAATTTGTCAGGTTGGATGCAACCAGGATAGAAAGGGGGGGGAGGGGGAGTGGAGAGTTGGGTGGGAGGACTCGAAAGAATTTGTTCCAGGGCTCGCCTAAATTCTACCCTTTACACACCAGGCCTACGACCAAAATCAGCCCTGTAAGGAATCAGGGCCAGATTTTTTCCAACCCATCAATTTCAGTTTTCAAGGGCAACCCAGCCCTGGAATTCAAGGTCCAGCACGGCAAACGCCCTGGTAGCGATAGCCCTGGTCAGGATCGAGGGATGATAGAGCGCACGGAAGGTGAAATCGTGGGCGACGCGGCCAAGGCCTGCTATTGCTCGGCTGGCTCTCAGCTGAAAACAAAACGCTTTACAACAGGCGTTACAATACACCCATACAGTTCATACACCTTTGTAAACTAACATCAGAGTAAAAGAAATTATTACTCTGACGTGCCTGGGTTTTTTTTCCAATGTATAGGGTAACTCTGACACCTCAGAGTAAGGCGTAGGAACTACCCTAGATTTCAGAGTTGGCAAAAAAACTACTCTGGAAATCAGAGTGCCTAAAATCCAAAAATAGGCCCTGCTGCCCACGCCTTCGCTCATACTTTGTATCTTTTGCCCACATAGTGCAATCCTCGTTATCTCGTTCCATTGCACCTGTAACACTTGGTATTCAGAGCCACCTTTTCTTTTCCTTCCAGAGAAATCAACTTTTGATTTTTGCACTTGAAGGGACTAACGTCCCTTAGCACCTAGGAGCCGTTGTCCTCACGTTCTCTTGTAAACCTGTGCAGCCGCGACTGCGGCTAGAACTAGGCTGAGCCGACGCCCTTCGACATGGCCGAGCATATCGACGTCACGAGTATCACGCAGGAGCGTCTCAACGAACTGCTGCAGCAGCTACGCGAAAGTTCCGAAGAAATCGCGACATTAACGGCAGAACGAACGTAGTTGCAAAACAACGTCGCACGAGCACAACAAGCACAGTCACAGACACAAGGCACGCACGGACAACCTGCACGACAGGCATCAGAACATGGAAGTGTGGGGCAACCCTCGAGCGCGGCTAGTGATGGCGTCGCTCGCAACGACGGAGACGACGACCACAGCGCGACACACCTCGGAGCAACGAATGCGGCCAGAAGCCAACCTCGCGTCACGATTTCGGTGCCGACCGGCAAGTCAGCACTACCGTCGCCGATGCCGCTGAAGCCGCAGCGTCCGCCTTGCTTTGACCCGAGTCAACGGGGTGGTCCTACCGTTCAGGCTTGGTTATTCACCATGAACGTGTTTTTCGACGCGAACTACGTCTCGAAAGATTCGGCGAAGATTCGCTACGCTGTGTCGCTGCTGCGAGGACCCGCCATGGACTGATGGCGCGTCATCGTCACGAATCCGATAGACTACGCGACTCTACCGACACGGGAAGGACAAACCGGACCCTGGGAGCCGTCGTATTTCATGGAGATGCCCCAATATCGCACGTGGGACACGTGGTGCGCAGGTCTGCGCGCACGATTCGAGCCAATCGCGGCTTCGATCGCGGCGCGTCAGAGGCCCCACACTTGGCGCCAACTCGGTTTCGTCCAGGACTACACCAGCGGGTTCCTGGCGCTGTATGAACAAGTGGGCTATATGCACGAGGGCGAACGCATCGACCGCTACATCGGCGGCCTGAAACATGAAATCGCCCAGGAAATACAGCTCCGCAATTTCACTGAATTCCATGACATCCTCACCATGACGGCGAAGCTCGACTTCTTACGCCGACCGAGACCGGGGTCCTACGGCAACAACAGCAG